TAACTCCCATGTAGTGCTTTCTTCAATATTTCCTCCCTAAATAATTTTGGCTAAAGGAATTTTCTTACCTTTTAGTTGTTTCACCCTTTTATCCTCAATTCTCAAAGAAATAGCTTCATAGGTGAAGTTATCCTTCAAATGAATACAATATGGGATGAGTCATGAATATATTTTCTAAGTTGGAAAACATGAAAGATACTATGCAACTTTGAAAGAGATGGAGGCAAAGTAATTTGATACGCTACACCACCAATCCTCTTAAGGATTTAGTAGAGACCAATGAATCATTGAGTAAGCTTGCAGGACTTAAGTGCTCTACCAACTCCAGTCCAAGGAGTTACCTTTAGGAATACATGATCTTCTTTTTTAAACTCAAGGTCTCTTATCATGATAGCTCTTTTGTCTACTCTAGGTTGTTCTCATCCTATCTTGGATTACCTTTACCTTCTTAGTGCTTTGGTAAACTACCCCAGGAAACTATTTCTTTGTTTTACCCAACATAAAGGTGTTCTACATCTCCTACCATAAAGTGCTTCATAAGGCATCATCCCAATATTTAAATGGTAGCTATTGTTATAGGTGAACTCTATCAAAGGTAGAAAACTATCCCAACTATCCTCATGCTCAAGGACACACGTCTCAACAAATCCTATAAAGATTGAATGGTTATCTCATTCGATCATCTGTTTGAGGGTGATAAGCTAAACTCATCCTAAGCTTTGTACCTAAACTTATGAAATCTTTCCCAAAGTCTAGAGGCAAACCTAAGGTCTCTATCAAAACCTATGCTAGCGGGGATCTAATGAAACCTCACAATATCTCACCTATGTATAACTTGGTCAATCTCTCCAAAGGATACCTAATGTTGATAGGGATAAAGTGGGTAGACTTCGTCAATCTATCCACTAGAACTCAGATAGAGTCTAGATTTTTTGCGATTATAGGTAACCCAACCACAAATTCCATGGAGATACTATCCTACTTCCACACATGTATATCTGAGGGTTGTAACTTTCCTAAAGGTTTCTGGTGTTCTACCTTAGACTTTTTGCAAACTAAGCAAGCGTAAACAAACTTCTCTACCTCGCTCTTCATCCTATGCCACCAAATCATCTTCTTAAGATCTTGGTACATCTTAATGGTTTCTGGGTGGATATTAAGGCTACTCATATGTCCTTCTTCAAGGACAATCATTTCAAGATCAAGAATGCAAGGTACAGACAATTTATTCTTAAGTCTCAACACTCCATCTACACCCACTGTAAATTCACAACCCTTCCCTTAGTTCAACTTCTCCATCTAACTTAATAGAAAATTATCTACCTTCTGACCTTAGAGAAAAAGGATCTACCTTCTAACCCTTTCTAATTTTATCTATTAGACTATTGGTCATTCTCAAAGTACTCAATCTAATACTTCTAGCAGTGAACTCACAAACCAAGCTAAGGTCGTCTATAAATGTCTCCAACAAGTTAAGTTCTCTAACCATCAACGCAGAAACTTGAAGGGATTTCTTAATTAGTGTGTCAGCCACTACATTGATTTTATGAGTTAAGAGAAAAGTTTTATGTATATAAAAATACCACAATATCCCATTTTAAAACAAAAAATATTTCTTTCTCTCTCTCTCCTTCTATTTCTATTTCTCACTCTCTATCTCTCTCACTCTCACTTCCCTTCTCCTCCTCTCTCTCTCTCTCCCTCCCCCCCGGCTCTCCCCCTCCCCCATCTATATTTCTCTCTTTCTCTCTTTCTTGTATCTCATTATTTCTTGATCTAATCAATTTTAATAATGTTATTAAACTTTATTTTGTTTCTATATTTTAATGGTATTAGTTAACACTTTTTAATTTTAATTTTTTATTTGAATTTATTTGAATAAAATGAAATAATATATTTTTATTCTTCATAATTATAATGTAGCATTTTTTTGTTGAATTTTGTGTTTAAATAATTTCAATAAGTTTTCAACTTTTTAAAATAGTTGAATACCATATTTGTAATAAGATTTGAGTAAATAAATATATATAATAAATATATTCTAATAAAGGATATCTTTTGTTAAAAATATTTATAAATACGAGAATATATATACTATTATAACTAAACATGAAAATTTTTAATTCTCGAAAATCATGTTTGAATATTTTAAAATATTTTTATAAATAATCAAATATATTTTAACTATTTATAAGAATTATAATTTTCAAGGTTTGTAATTTTTAAAAATCATAGTTTGTGAATACGAAAAACATTGCCTATTTTGACCGTTGGATGAAGGGGATAATAAGATGTTGATGGCATGGAGACAATTCTCCGAATGTGTTCATTTATATTGTTCTAGCTAGGCAAAGAAAAACTCAAAAACTGAAGAAAAACAATAGAAAGTTATAAACTGTGGTTAAAACTGTTATGAACTGTGACACTAGGTGGGTGGTACTTATTTATGAGTGTGCAACTTTCAAACTCAGGCTCCAAACTTTCAAAAACAATATTAGTATATTTTGTTATTATCAATTATTCTAAATATTATTATCATTATTATGGAGTTTAATTTTTAATTGGAAACAAATAAGATCAAGTTTTTTCGATCAGTTGCAAATAAGATCAAGTTTTTTTTTTTTTTTTTCTTTTTCTGTTTACTTAATAGAAGGAATGAAAATAGAGTGCATTTCTCCAATTTGAGAAGTGTTTTTATGGGTGAGCAGAACCTAGAACTCCATAATTGTCTAATATATATAAGCAATGATTTACTCTGGTGTTACTAAATGATGCAGGCCACAGCAAGCACCACTGAACAGAAGTTCAACACTTAAAACATATTATAACAAGGTTATTATAGACTCTAAAACCTTGGTTTTGCTAGTCACACATCGCCCTTAAGGAATAAAGAGTTATCAGATTGGAGAGGAAACTCTTTTCACATGTATAGAGTTATTTTCCCCTTGCTTGGTTGTATTAAATATTTTTGTTATATTGGGTGTATGAAGAACTACTTTTTCCTATCTTTACTTTGTTATGTTTTGATTTATGGTCTAGATTTTAAAAACCAAACTATTTTCAAATAATTAATATGTTATATGAATAGATGAACTTATTTAAATTTATATTATTATGATTAGATTAATATTTTTATATTATTTTTATTTTTATTTAATAACATTATAAACAAGTTTATTAATAATTTAATAATATAATTTTAAAATGAATTTTTAAAAATAATACGAATGTTACCTACAAATATATTCATGAGAAATTATGCACGGATATACATCTATTTATAAAGCAAACAATATATTAGATAATTTTTCAATGGATATATTCTTCTTCTAGTTACTCTTTCTTAATTTCATTCTTTTTTCATTTTTTATTTATTTTTCGTATCTGACAATCAAGATAGAACGTATCTCGTCTTTGTATTTTTAAAATTTTATTTTTATTTTCAACTCTATCATCTATATAAATCATGATTTTTCACTCAACC